TGTGTGTTGTTGTGTGTGTGTGTGTGTGTGTGTGTGTATGTTTCTTATATATATATATATATATATATGTATAAACTAACAGTCTCATTATTTTGAGGTATCCACAGCGCGTGTTCATGAAGGAACTGTCACAAATGGCCCGCAAACGTCCGGACGTTGTGGTGGTGATGACCCGCCTGCGTATTGTGTCTCTCTCGGACTCGGTTTTAGGGTTGGTATGTTTTAATTGGTCATGTGATCTATAGTATTGTACTATGCTACCAATGTTTAGTGTTCCTTTTAGATTAGGCTGCAAGACTGGTACGTTTTTAATGGGCATGTGGACTTTCCTATTAGACTATACAATCAACGAACAGTGTTCGTTTCAGGCGCGTTTTCAATTTTGGTGTGTTTCATGGTTGGGAGATCTTTACTTTATACCATCACAACCAATGTCGACGTTTATAATTGTTTGCCTTTAAATAGATTGAAATGTTACCTGCGATACCAATTATGATCTCCACAACAAATCGAACAATTACAAGGTTGATGCGTGCATTGCTCGTCTCGATTTTATGTTGCATATAGTACGACTGCCAGAATGAATCATTGTATCTCATGGCCGCCAAGCTCTCGTAGTTTAATGTCTCCACTATTTTCGATCATGCTCACCTCGCTCTCTTAGCATTGTCCGTGAAATCATGTCGCCCTATCGGTTACTTGCTTATTGCAAATCTATTTGTCCTGATATACAGATTGCGCATCAGGATGCCAGTGCGGCTGCTGAAGCTGAGCCTTCTGGAGTTGCCTCAAAGGCAGACACGCCACGAACGGTGAGTTACAAAGTCGCAATGCTTGTACGTTAGTCCTTGTAGTTTTGCGACGTATCCGTACCGCATCAGAGGGACATAGAGACTTGGTTATACGCAAATGTGATTTGCTCTGCAGTCGTGCAAGGAACAACTGTATAGTGGTTGATCACCAGCGATGTACTCAGGTCTTGAGTTTATGTATATCAGGATGGTTGCTTCGCCGTGGGTAACATATGTTCATCGTTTAAGTAGTTTTGTCGTCTCTAGCTACGGAGAAGTGACTTACTCGCCCGACTGAGGCAATGCCAAATTTTCCCTGGACGATAAAAGTATTGTACCTATGCACCGCATCCGATCTTAATCGTGCAAGCTTTTTATATTCCATCACTATTCATACTTCGCGAGAAGCGTCACGCTGAGACACTTAAATGAAACTGCCATCACATAATTAACTGCAGGCCACGTCAATAGAGAGTAGAGCAAACATCCTTAGCCATCCCTATTCGCCAGTAGAACGATCGAAACGTCAGCAGACGTTCCTACAGCCCCTCTCAGGTGCAGTGGAGGTGTTGCAATTGAAGTCGAAGGAGGCTCCTCAGTTCGACACGCACACGAACAACGAAGTACAGGCTTGCACACCCATCGAGGAAGCAAAAAAAGAGCTCTTCTGCCAATTGTGCCGGCTGTCTGGCTATGTGATGGACGTGATACCACCGGAGATGCTCTTGAAGGTGGGTAATCAGTGTTTGCACTAGACACGCAAGTGTAGAACTTGTAATGTCATGGACGTGCACTGTAGCTATGGGGATTGTTTCTCACTATGCACACATACGGCAAGCATGCACGTATCTGTAGCTCAGTTATGTAGGTGCTACCTCAGGCATGATGTAGATAGTGGATTGTGCCTTACTTGACTATTTAAGTGTACTTGTGGTAACTTGCAACGTCTTCTGTAGTCTAGAGCCAGTCATTACGGCAAGCTGTGTGTCTGTGTAGAATGAGTCCGCTTATTTATTAACGGACTCACCTTCCCTTTGCAGGTTATCTCTCGCTGTGTGCACCACCCCCGGCTCATACCGTATTTATTATACTTAAATTTTCTTTCATGCTTATGCTATATTTAAAATACTAAATATTTGTTGGTGTACCGGCTAATTTTTATATTTCATGCGCCCATAGTATGTTTGGTGTACTGGTTTATTATAGCTGAGTTGTTTCCGCCTGTGCGCAATCATATATCAGTATTACTTGTCGTAGCACTCGCTGAAGTGCATATCCCCAATGCTTGTTCACGTGGTGTACTGGTTTATTGTTGCAGTTGTTTCCGCCTGTGTGCAATCATAGACCAGTAACACTTGCCGCGGAATACCGTGCAGGCAACCTTTCTTTTCTGGTTCTCCTATCGTGTATCGCGTAGCAGTCCTCACCAATTGCGTCTCGCCCGCTGGTATCGAACACTATGCTACGATTGGCCCAGCCCTCGAATGACTTCAGTTTGGCGCCAACCTGTTGTGGTTTCAGTCATTACGGTTTA